GTCTCATTCTTGCATTAAACGTATACAATAGCAAGAAGCAAAAAAACAAAAAATTTTTGAAAAACTACTACGAAAATTTTATCGTTTTTCAAGACGTACATACCTAATTTTTTATAAAAATTTTGTATACAAGGTGTTTCATTCTTGTAGTAAAAAGCCAAGAAGTTTTTGCTTTAACCGTTTTCTTTTTGAAAAACAAAGACTGAAATTAAAAAAAAATATATTGAAGACTATATAAAAAAATCAAACATTTAGCAATTTGCTAAATAATTTTGAAAATGTTGCAAATACGGTTAAAGGTACAAGAAAATTTTGACTTGGTAATTTCCATAAAAAAAAAACACAAACTTTATGTAGTTCTCCATAATAAAAACTTCAAAAAAAAGCATTACATTTCCAATTTCAATGAATGTTTGTGTTAAGTAGGCCAAATGTGCCAATAATTAACCGTTTTACTTGTAATTCTTTGAAGTTCCAAGTTTTTCCGATTTTTTGTGTTCTTTTGGTGACATAAGCAATAATTTTCGATTTAACTACCTTTTATGTAGCCTACTTTCTCAACGAATATTTATAAAAAAGCAATGCTTTTTATCTCTGGAGCACCAGAAGATAAAATTTTAAAAGAAATTTGTCGTCATTTAGAAAAGAACGGGCAATAATCTGAAATAAGTAAAAACTTAATTTTTTCTGTGTAAAAAAGTAAAAAAAAAAACAGTTCTCCCAAAAACTAGAAATGTGATTGAATTAAATCACAATGATCTACAAAGTTTTTTCTTTAAGCCGACCAAAAATTCGTTGAAATCCGATAAAGAATAACAAAAATATTGCAAAATTTCACTTTATTTGTGAAAGTGTATTTTTAATTCAACTCACTTTATTATTCCGATTCTTTTGAACTCCGGATGGTGAAGTAACGCGACCCAAATGCGATACAACTATACAAGTTTTCACATTGTGGCCTTTCTGGGCACATTTATTCATGGATTGATCACAGATATTTTTCAAAGAGAGGAGTTTCTCGCCTCTCCAAACGCCATCTGCTGTTACCAAAACGCGAGCTTCGCAGTCGAGGATTCGCTCGGCGAAGGAGTCGGCCGAAAAGCCTGCAAACTAACAAAAACTTCATTGTTTTACAAGATTTTTTTCATAAATAGCCAAAATTCACAAAAAAAAATATTTACAAAATTTTTTGGTAAAGTTAATGTTTATTACAATTTCGCAATTCATTGTTTCTAATCCTAATTATAACACCTATTGTTATAAAATTATTTACTATATTTTTTAAATAAAAAATTGTTAATCTACAGGTGAGGCATAATTGCGGTTTAGGGAATTACTGACTTGATTATTTTCTTAAAATTGTTTTTAAACACATAAAAAATTAAAAAATTTGTTATTCCAGGACCGTATTTTAATTTCCATATTTATACAGGGTGATTTTTAAAAAACAACAGAATTTTTATTTTTTTGTTAATAAATTAAATGAATTTTAATA